GGCGTCGCCTCAATCAGAACGCGCCGTCCCGGATCAGAAGCCGACCGAATCCACACTAGCGAAGGATGATAGCAAGCCCGAAACCAATGGGTGAGTAGTAGTTGCATTTGTTGCGCGATGGACTTCATTTGCCCATCACGTTCGGCTTCCTTCAAAGCACAATTGCTAACAATTGCTCCTCCTTCCACAGTCACGCCTCTCCTGCTGAGAAGAGCTCCGACAAGGCAGATGAGTCCGCAAAGTCACCCAGAACCAATGGCGACAGCAAGCACAATGAGGAGGTGAAGGCGTCTTCCGATGCGAAAGTCACTCCCGCCAATGAGAAGGAAACGGAAAAAGAGGAACCAGCCAAAAAATCACCTACACCGGCCGACGAATCTTCTACCAAGCCCAAGGCCGTAGAGCCTGAGCAGTCGAAGGAAAGCAAGGAACCTAGCAAATCTTTGAGTCCCCCGCCTGCTGAGCTTCCCAACGACGTCGACATGACCGACGCGCCAGAGGTCGAAAAGGCGGAGAAGAAGACCGACGAAAAGCCAGAGGAGAAGGCAACGGAGAAGGCCGAGGCTTCTGAGCCTGCGAAGGCTGCGACAGAAACCAAAGACAAGGACGTCGAAATGAAGGAGAGCGATGACAAGGTCAACGGAGCAAAGGACGGGTCGCCGGCGGCTCCTACGACTGCCGCTGGTCAAGAGGTAGATCTCCAACCAGCAAGCTTGTCCCAACTGGCCATTGACAATGACAAGGAAAAGGACAAGCCCTCGAAGCTTGCAGACGAAGACGTGCCCATGGCGGAGGCGCCATCAACCGTTAGCAAGGTTTCTCGCGAGAGAGAAGATGACGCCGATGCTGAGCCCGCTCCCAAGCGCGCGAAGACCGATTCGAATGATGGAGCCATCGAGTCCACCGTCGAGGTTAAGCCCCAAGGCGCGCAGGACGATTTGGCTAAGGGCGAAGCGGCCCTCGAAGACCTCCCTTCATGGATTGATGCTGCACGCGACCCCAAACCCCTCACATCTCACCAAACGCGAGAATTCCGCAAGGTGTTGGCGGGTGTGAAGAAGACCAAACACGGTGCTCACTTCAAGGACGCGGTTGTCAGGATGTGGCCTAGCCTTGCTGAGAGCTATCTCATGCGGGTTAACAGACCCATGGATATCGGCGAGCTTGAGCGAGGCCTGCGCGACAACAAGTACAGCAGCCTGCGTCAGTTCAAGGATGATCTTGGATTGATCTACAAGAATTCGGTCACTTTCAACGGCATCAACAATGAAATCACGTTCGCGGCTCTTAGTGTGGTGAAGTTGGCATGGACCCGCGTTTTCGAGATTCCTTCCGACGAGCCCGCGAAGTCGAAACCAGTGCCGAAGCCCTCCCGATACTCCGAGTCACGGACGTCAGCCCCTCCGCCTCCTGTCCGGAGACAGCCTAGCATTGCTGCTGCGAGCCCGCCGGCAAAGGCCGAGGCCGAAGCATACGCCGTTCCTCCTGGCGGTGTGCCGCAAGTCCGCCGTGCCTCGACACAGAATGACTTGGACCGTCCCAAGCGCGCCATCCAGCCCACCAAGAATCGCGACCCCGACTACTCCTCCAAGACCTTCAACCGGAAGAAGTTGCCCATCGAGCTTCAATTCTGCTACGAGGTTGTCAGTGAACTGATGGATCCCAAGAACGCCTCGTGCAACCTCGCATTCCTGTCCCCGGTCGATCCCGTGGCTCTAGCCATCCCCACCTATTTTACCATCATCAAGCGGCCGATGGACTTTGGTACGATTATGGCCAAGCTCAAGAGCTACGACTATCCTGGCATCAAGGAGTTCCAAACAGATGTCAAGCAGGTTTTCAAGAACTGTTACAAGTTCAACCAACCTGGCCAGCCCGTCTACGAGCAAGGTCAACAGCTCGAGCAAATCTTCAGGGGTCTGTGGTCAAAGAAGGAGCAGTGGATAAACAAGCACACCCCGGCCAAGCCAGTTCATGACGGCTCAAGTCGCGATAGCGAAGACGAAGCCGAGGAAGAGGAAGAGGCGCCAGCCCCTGCAGTTGATCCCTCGGTGGCTGCGACGATTGCATTCCTGGAGAAGCGTCTCGAGCAGGAGACGAAGCAGTTGACCGAGCTCTACAAGACGGCGGACATCGCTAGTGACGCTGTTATCGACCTTCAGCAGTCTTTGCTCACCACTATTCGGCAGCGTCTCATAGACGAAAAGGCCAAGCTCACCACCACGAAGCCTGCCAAGAGCGCCGCTAAGGCCAAGCCGCCAAAGCCTGCTAAGTCGAAGGCGGCTAATGTCCCCGCGAAGAAGGCAGCCGCGGCTCCCGTCTCGAAGAAGAGCGGTGGCGGCGTAGCCAAGAAACCCAAGCAACGAAACATGAACCAAACTGAGAAGGATGCTATCGCGAACGCTATTAACGAACTTGAGAGTCCACACATAGAACGTGCCATCGACATCATCAAGAAAGATACTGGCCAATCGGTAAGACAAACCCATTTGTTTTCTTCATTAGATCTATGCTGACCATCTTTGCAGGAAAATAGCAGTGGCGAACTCGAACTGGAGATCGACCAACTCACCAACGAGGCGCTTCACAAGTTGTGGGATCTGTGCAAAAAGACTTTGCCGAGCTTTGGGCAGGGCTTGGGCTCGAATGGGCCAGCACGTGAAGCATCGCCAGTGAACAATGCGCCGGCAAAGTCGTCGGCCAACAAGCCGTCGAAGTCGAAGAAGAACAAGCCCATGAATGCTCAAGAGCAAGAGGCTCGCATTGCTGAGCTGGAGCGGCTTCGTAATATGTACGACGGCAAGGAACCGGGTGATCAAGAGCGACCCGGTAGCTCCGGTCGTGCGCACGAAGCTCCTGTCCACGACAATGACAGTGAATCTTCGGATTCGGAAGAAGAGTAGAGAGGCATAATGAGCAGCAGCAGCAACTTTTTGGGTCCAAAAGTCGCTATGTGGCGTGGGGAGGACGATTGAATGCGCCTGGTACCCTAAGACAGGGGAGTTTGGCGCTGTACTACTTGGCTCATTCCGAAATGCTAGCGAAGGGCTTCCCTCGCGTGACGCCCAGCAGCATCTCGAGCGGACGCTTTCCAGACCTATCGCCTCACGGCTTGGGTTCGGGGGCGAACCGCGGGGATAGCGATGACCGTGGACGTCGCGGAGGACTCCTGCGCATTGAGCGCGCAGGCGATGTATCTGCCTGACAGCAGGATTGAGAAGAGCGTTGATTTGCGGGCGTTGTGACTGTATGCCCACTACATAGCATCTTTTATTGCCAGCTAGCGGACTTCAAAAGAGGCTAGCCAACACTTGAGCTGTAGAATATGATGTACAAAACTATTCAACCCGTGCTATATATGAAAAAGAAGGGTACATCGTGTGTGGCCATGCGTTGTGAGTCTACAGTGGGGAGGCCGCTTGTAGTCAATTTGATCTGTTTGACAGCGGCATCATACGTCGTGGACGGTCACTCGGTACCCTGGGCCCTCATCTCCCATGTCTTTTTCGCTGCGATTGAGACTGCGTCAGGTGCGTCGTGAGGGTTGAGGCTCGGCTGAGGGTCAAGGCCAATGACCTGCTCGTGTTGATGAATCAGCGCGCTGGATGGATATCGGATTGATTGATGTGCAGACTACCTAGGCGTGGATACGATATCGGGATATGGCTGGGAGTGTGCATTTGACTGGAGTGTTTCGTGTTTGAGGGTTCGATGAGTGTAGATTTGGGTTGCTCGAACTGGAATGTCTTATATGGGCGAGACTGAGGCGTTGCGGTGATGATGGGCTAGGGATGTTGGGGATGTGAAGATGGGAAAGGTGGATTGGCACCCAATTGCTCGGGGTGTGGGCCCCAGCGTGTGTACCGAGTGTGGAGTCCATACCCGGCCGATGAGAAAAGTACCCCCGGGCTTACGAAGACCTAGACCTTTGGTAAGAAGTATCTCTCCCATTATTTATTGTAATAGTGAAGAGATTTCTATTGATTTTGATTACAACAAAAGATGATCTATGCTTTCTTCTGCTTGCTTATTACGATGTACAACTGAAAGATGCTAATCATGTACGTGTGGGAGTTTAACTAGGCAGATGGTCTCTGTCCCGTCCCTGTCTAGTGATGCCGCCCGCCATGATAAAGTCCACCGCAGCCGGATCTTTGATATGGTTGTGGTTTCTTATATACTGTCCAATATCCTGCCGCTTGGCCTCCGAATACCCCTCAGATCTAGTCCAACTGCTGTCCTTGAGTGGAATACATGGCCGTATTCCTTTGGCGGAGACCAGGCTCTGTGGCTGTGTTCTCTCATCTGCTAAATGAAAGTGTCCCAGGCCTTCAAGACTTGGCTGATTATAACTGTTCTCAAGATGGAAATGTCTCCCAGCTTGCCCTGTCACGGGTGTAGCTGATTAAATCCAAAGTATGGCAAACGCGGTGGCCGGCCTGAATCCATGCGCCCACCTCTGAAGGCTTGTTCATGGAACAACAAGAGCCAAGAATGAGAGCATCGCAGCCACGGCCAGAGCCACCATGGCAGGCGGCGAACGGGAGGGACTACCGGGCTGTCCACTCATGCGATTCCCTCCGGGACGGGGAGTCGCCGTCACCGTTGTGCTTTGGGTTACCGTTACCGTTGCGACGGAGGCTTCGGGGACTAGAGGCATGCGGAAATCGTTGTTAGGATGACACTTGGGGTGAAGGCAGCCCGGGATGAGATTTCGTAGGATAAAGGTTCAAGGGGGAAAGGACTAGGGCACTTACGTGGGTGTGTGACACGGTACCAAGTCATGGGGAGAACGTAGAGCTCCGACATGGCGATGCAGAAGATGATTCTCCTCGCGTCGGTGCTGCCTTGCGTTTGGAGCATGGTGATAGTGTCGCAGGTGTTACTCGGTCCACTGCCTCCTCTGGTTAGAACACGTCGTTTTTGACCCATTCTTCCATAGCCCCGAGATCCTTCAGAGCGTATCAAAGGAAGGAAAGAAAAGGGGGGGATCATTACCAGTCTGCCTGCCCAGTCGGCCCAACAGCATAGTTCCCAAACGGCCCACCACACGACGTCGCCATCTCGCAGTAGGGATTATTCCGCGGGCAACATACTCCAAACCTGCTATCCGCAGCAAAGTAGTTGTCTGCCGGACATGTCGCCGAGACCCAGGCGCCGGACTGGGAGTACCACGCGATGAAGTTCGTGCGGCCGTCCGAGGACCGCGGGTCGCCTTGGCGAGCGCGGAGGAGACGGTGCGATGCGAAGGCCGGGTCGGGGGCCGGGGTGATGGTTAGGAGCGGGACCTCGTAGGCGCGGTTCGGGGGTGCCGCCGGTTCATTTCTTTGATTTAGTGTGGTGGTTGTGGTCGGGGTCAGGTCGGTTATTGTGCTGCCGAGGACGATGCTGCTGAGCAGGAGGAGTAAGAGGAGGCGGGGGAGGGATAGTGTCGAGAGAGGGGACCCGGACACTGGGGGTGAGATGTGCATCTCGAGAGCGCGCGGTGGGGGCGCTCCTGCAGCTTCATGGAGTTTTCTTCTTTCTCTGTTCTCTGCAGCTCTGTTGATGAAACTTTGCGATCTGAGGGTAATAGGTCTAAGCTGAGGCGTTTGGGAGACGAGTTGGTTATTAGAGTCGCAGGAGGAAAATGTACAATAGAGAAGAGAAAAGCGATGTGGAAGAGAAGAAGGGTTACATTCTAGCAACGTTTCTCGACGCCCGAGACGGGCAGGAGGAGAGGGAGATGACCTTTTTTACATCTTGACAGCCTTGGTGTGAGTTTTTCGGATTGTTTTGTGGAGTGGTTCTGCACATGAGGTCGTGCGGTGATACACCCACGCACCACCCCCCCCCCCACTTCCAGTTTGGACTTGAGAATTATGAACCGGATCTCTCAATCTGACCATGCAAGGCCACGCGTGTAGGCCTGGACCAGAAGTTCAGAATGGTGGTTGAATCGTATCTCGTTTGTCAGTACTGCGATGTTTTGAGTTTAGAGTACGAGATTTCCGGGTGTTTGGGGGAGAGCGGACAGGTAGAGTGAGATGATGCTGGAGAAGACCGGGATACAGGGTTGGCTGACGGGCCGGCGATGCATCAGAGGGAAGGTATGTGTGTTCAGCTCCAGGCTTCAACCGCAGATGTATCTTGCAGAAGGCCGTGAGCCTTGTCAGAAATGTGGCCGTGAACCTAATACGGCGGGACGCGATCCGGTTCGTACTAGGATTATTACGGCTAGTCTTACGGGGTATCTTCACTTGATCTGAAGGAGACGTGAGATGAGGGGAAGGAGGATTGTGGCCGTGAATAGATTTGTGGTGTGCGTGAGATCTGAGTAGTTGACCGGTGAGGACAATGGTTGGTGTAAGCGTAAGCTGGTAGGGCTGCGATTGGCTTTGAGGGTGCAGCCTTCTTCGGGGCAGGATAAGATCCTCTGACGGAAATAGACTAGAACTTGGATCCTGCTTCAATGTGCTCTTTTCATGTTGGGAGGTGGGAGGCTGTCACTTCTTATCAGTTCACGATGGTTGCACCGGTGTATCTCCATTCGAGACGAGTTACTTTTGAGGGTGACAATATTCATCACCCGAGTTAAAGTGCTTAACCCACTTGCAGGTGACTAGTTGTCCCCTTATCAGCTCCATCGTCTTTCCCTATCTCTCCAAGACCAGCTTCTAGAACCGGAGGCCTCGATCCGTTGTCAAATCGCCACTCACATCCCCTCGGAAACATCGGATAAACAGCGTTTATTCAAAAGCAAGGGTGGAGAATTCGAGGCGATTAAGCCATCTACGACTTCTTCCCAATTGAAGCGACTGTAAGTCAGTGAAAGTCATCGCTATCGCTACCGCTGCCGATTCGGCGAGTCTCAAGGCCCCCGTGAACAAAACACTTCCAGCCTTGGAAGGATCAAGGGGGTCGTCCGAAGTCGAGGGCGGAAGCTCGGAACCATAGTTGGGTGGTTTTGAACGTCGGATCAGTTCGTAGCCGTATGGCTCGCGCGGCCTATTTGAGTCAGGGTCTTCCCGGCCCCTGAGGCCGTGATTCTTTGGTTGCGGAGAGGGGACCACTAGACCAGAAGGATCTCTTTTGCTTACCAGCTCATGCGCTCGTTTACCAAGGGAGTCTGGATTGAGCGACCCTCTCCCTTTTGTGTTGACCGTGGAGCAGATCTCTTCTCTCGTGTTCCTTGCGAGTACAAAACCAAGTGAAAATGCTGCAGGGGCTTCAAGCTGATGAGAACAAGAGTACTCTACCTCCAGTCCACATGATGCGCTCACAATGTCCTGTGTTGGCTCTCAGTCATAGGCCACTTACTACTAGAGTTGACCATCGCAAAACACCTCTTGATGCTGAGCATATTGTGACGAATTCCTCCTCTATCCCAACACGCAGTACATGCTCGTGAGCGTAAACTGCAGACAGAACCCCGCCCACGAAAGGCCACCAGCGATCGAGACATGAGACAAACGACAGGTCAAGGCACAGGCAAAGAAGTTGAAACCGAGTATTCATCCCAGCATCTGAATAGCTGCTGCAGAGAAGCAATCCCGAAACATGGTCAACCACTCCACTGAGAGACGCTCAGGAATCGCCTGGTTGGAAAGGGAGTGGCAACGAGACACGCTGGTCTTTAGGAAGCCTGGTGCCTGGGAAACGGCGTGCTGATTGATTGCAAGAAAGGAAGATATCTCAAAGGAATAGATACAATCGCTTGAAATTTGCCTATATCATCCTGCCCATGTGTTACATATTTGGCTTAATTGTGAGTGAGCTGATTGTTGCTAATTTGAGCTCGATCTTTTTCGTGGTTGCTACTGGGAAGAGTTGTAAATATTGATCATCTTGAGTCTTGAATAGCCTGTCTGTTGATCAGCTTCCATTCACCATGCACTTCTGGGAATTGGTTTGTGCATTTCAAGACATCCCTTGGTTGACATACTGCCGGCGTGTACTTCGCTCCGGCGCCGCCATCGCCGTGGACACACCCCCGACATCGGCAACCCGCGGCCGGAAAAGGTGGGACCCGACTCGGAGGATTGCGAAGCGGATGTCAGCGGCTGACGCTGCGCCCTTTCTCGCAGCTACATCATTCTCCCCTGTGTAGGTTTTCCAGAAACCTTGACAGCAAGTGAAGTTGGGAACTCTGCGAAAGCTTCAAACTTATGAGGTTCAGGTCGACTCACCATAATGAGCCTGCCATCCTTCCTACCGCCCTTCGCGGGCACCGAGATCCGGACCGTGGAGATGCACACAGCCGGAGAGCCGGCGCGCATCGTGTACGCCGGCTACCCAGACATCCCGTAAGTCTCACTCCACCAACATCCCTCACATTACGAGAAGCTCCTCCTCCGCCTCTCCTCCATCCTTGACAAGAAACCCATTCCCCTAACCGGGCATTGCCCCATCCTCCAGCGGCACCCTCCTCGAACAGCGCTCCCTCGCCCAAACCTACCACGACCACATCCGCCGCAGCATAATCTACGAACCCCGCGGTCACGCAGACATGTACGGCGCTATCCTCCGGCCCCACACAGAACTCGTCGACGCGGGCGAGGCGCACATGGGCGCCTTATTCCTCACGCACGAGGGGTATGGCGCAATGTGCGGACACGCCACGCTCGCGCTCGGCAGGTTCCTCGTCGACTGCGCGGCCGAGACCGTGTTTCCGCGGCGGCGGGAGCTGATTGTTGATGAGGAGAGGCGGACGGTGGAGGTGCGGTTGCATGCGCCTGTTGGGGTGGTGAGGCTTACGGTTCCTGTTGTCAAGGTGGATATAGATGGCGGCACGGGGGTCGCCGGGGGCAGCTCCGGGGCCATCGGGGGATGGAGGACGGATGTGGAGAGGCGGATTACGTTTCTTTCTGTGCCGACTTTTGCTACGGCCGTTGATCTCTCTGTTCCTATCCCACGTGGTCTGGGATGGCCGGAGCTAGGTGATGCCGTAGCCGTGACGATGGACGTTGCATTCGGCGGCGCGTTCTACGCAGTCGTATCAGCGGTGGCTCTGGGGTTTCCGGCATCTCTCACGAAGCCGGACGTCAGCGCTCTCAGCAGCGCAACGAAGAAGCTCAAGCAAGCCTTCAACACCTCGACGAACCTCCGCGCCCGCCTCGAAGATCCGGGAGACAACAAGATGGACACGGGCTCACAGTATCTTTACGGCATCATGGTTACAGACACAGGCAGCAACGACGTTCTCCCAATGGCACTAGGCTGCGTGGGCGCGGAGACGGGATTATACTTCTTCGGCGATCAGCAGATCGATCGGAGTCCGACGGGGTCGGTCGTTCAGGCGCGTGTTGCGGTAGCTGCTGCGCGGGGCGAGAGGAAGCTGGGCCAGTCGTGGACGTATCACAGTCTTGTGTCGAGGGGTGTTGGCGGGTATCGCGGAGCGTTTGTTGGAACGCCCGTGGAGGAGGTCGAGGTTGGTGGGAGGAGGGCCTGGAGGGTTGAGGTGAGTGGGCAGGCTCATTATACGGGCTCGAGTACGTTTGTGATGGAGGAGGGTGATGATATTGGGAGGGGTTTTTCTTTTCGGGGATTTGAAGGGTGAAGGCCGTGATCTTAACCAACTGTGCGACCATGACCATTCATTTCTTGGCTAATTCTATGAGCTGTGTCCGAGGGTGTTCTACGCCATGGATAGCGGCGAGTTCATGAGCATTGACTAGCAAGTAACCGTCTTAACAAAACTGATAAAACTCAAGAACTGAGATCCAGCAAAAGATTACCTCGACGTTGGCCTGATTCGAACAGACGCTCCCGAAGGAACAAGATTTCTAGTCTTGCGCATTAGACCACTCTGCCACAACGCCGTGAAATAAATCCGCCTTGAAGCGGGGATGACGATATGGGGAGCCCTAGACGTTCATGATTGTGTGCAGTAGAATGGTGGATCACGACGAGGATTAGGGTCGGACAGGGATGGGTCTTCTTGTGGGTTGCTGGGCCCATGGGAAGCGAAGCAATAAAATGGTCAAGACTCTCTTTGACGTGGCTAGCCCTTGTGATTCTCTTTGAAATGGCTTCCCTGTGTTGTGGTTGAGAAGTGTATTGTAGGGCAGGAGAGTTGGTGATACCAGTTTGCAACTCATGCTCTCCCAAACATGTGATCGGCTTCCTAGAACCCGCGGTTGTTTAGTTTAGCCGATTGTTCTGTACTCAAATAATCTAAACGGGGAAAACACGCACCACCCCGATGAATTCAAACCTTAGTCTCGATAGCGTTGTGACGGCGTAAAGCAGTCATCTTGAATGGTATTATCAGCGATCTTAGCGCGCGAGCGGGGAAAATCGACATTTGGCCGTGCAAGATGAGTAAACGTGGGCGGGCAAGTCGTGGCGTCACATCGCATTACCTTACTCCGCGTCAAACATTAGCCGCATGTAGTCGCAAAGGGCGTCAACCTCCATCTCGATATTATAAATCCTAGGACATTGCATCGCAGACGTCGACAGAAAGCCAAGACGTGAATAACACCAATCTCCTCTATCCAATCTCCTCTATCCAATCTCAACCATATCTAACGCTACAAACTAAGAAATCGTAAAACAAGAAACAATGACGACCTTTGAAGGCTTCTCCCCCTTCACAGTGACAACCCAAACCTCTCCAGACGTCGTAATCCACGGCATCAAAAGCGGCGAGGCCACCACCTCCTCCCTGCCTCCCCTCCTCCTCCTCCACGGCTTCCCCCAAAGCCACCACATCTGGCACAGCGTCGCAACCGCCGTCAAAGACCGCTACACCGTCATCGCAATCGACATCCGCGGCTACGGCAACAGTTCAAAACCAGATGGCGTCCCTTCCTACGCCAAATCCGCCATGGCACGGGACTGCATCGCCGTCATGGACTCCCTCGGCTACGCCGATAAGTCCTTCTACGTATGCGCCCACGACCGCGGCGCGAGGGTCGCGCACAAGTTGTGCGTAGACTTCCCCTCCCGCATCCGCAAAGCAATCTTTCTAGACATCTGCCCCACGCTCGTCATGTACAAGACCACGAACCTCGACTTCGCAAAGGCGTATTTCCACTGGTTCTTCCTCGTCCAACCCGCCCCGCTACCGGAAACACTCATCAACGCCGCGCCGCGCAAGTTCCTCGAACTCTTCATGGGCGGACGACAGCTCAAAGGCCTGCAAATCTTCAGAGAGGAGGACTTTGAGTTTTACGCCCAGGTCATGGGCCAGCCCGAGGCCGTGAGCGCCATGTGCAACGACTACCGCGCGAGCGCGACGCTGGATCTCGAAGAGGCGGAGGCGGATGTGAGGGAGGGGAGGGTGTTGCAGACGCCGCTTGTTGTGCTGTGGGGGAAGCACGGGGTGATTGAGAAGTGCTTTGATGCGGTGGGCGAGTGGAGGAAGGTTGCTGGGGAGGAGGTTGAGGTCCGGGGGAGGAGTGTGGAGAGTGGGCATTATATTCCGGAGCAGGCGCCTGATGAGGTTGTCAAGGCGATTGACGAGTTTTTTGTGTAAAGTTTGAAGATGTCTTCCAGGTCTTGGAAGAGAGGCTTTCATGTCATGGCATAACCTGTCAAATCGAGTTGCTTTTGAGCGAGCTTGTGAGCATTTGATCTTGATTCTGGCCTTGATACCATGGCGATGTTCCTACTGAGGCGAATTCTGTACCAAAGCCGAGTCAGTATGGAGGGGAGTAAGGCTGCATAAGTTGAAGGAGAAGAAGAGATTAAAGAAAAGCACTATAAATGCCGCTTTGTGGCTGGGATCACAGAGGTCGAGTATGGTATCGTCCTAATGCAGAGCCCAAGAAGCACCAAACCCCAACAAGAATGTAGAAGAATAAAGACGGGCTCCGGCCGCCGGCCCCGCACCAAAACGACGGCTGCCCCGGATACCGATGACAAACCCGTTTACGACATCGGTTCCGGGTTCAGGCAGGTTCCTAAACGTTGGCTCGATACATCTCATAATACCTCAGGTATATCATGCCTGCCGCCGAGCTTTCATAAAGTTATCTTACCTAGCCCCAATCTGCTAACCTCAGCAGCAGAATTTTCTATATTGCTTAGGGCTATGCAAGGTGTTAAGCAACATACGAGACTTTGGGAAAGCTCCTTGGCTAGAAATACACTGTTGCAACTTGGCCATCCAGGGACTAAGAGGCTGATGCAGAAGGCTACTTTGTTGGAAATGTGCCCTTCTTGGTCCTTGCCTTGACACCTCTCTTCCATATCTACTTACTGTTTTCGACCTCTTGATTCTGCAACACTAGTTATCAGGCTTGTCACTCCATGAATCATTGTTGCGAGCACTGCACATCGTATTCACGAAGAAGTCACACAGATTTGCACTTACCATCGTAGTGAGAACCACCATAGCGAGGAGTTGTGGTAGCATACTGGGTCAAGTCAAACGGCTGTTACCGTCGAATTCACATTCAAATGTATCTATCGAAACCCCATTGCCCGCTGCGGTATGAGCACCACTGAGAGCAGGGTTCGTGTACATCCTGTCATCCTCACTGATGCCTCCTCAAATTCTCCGCGTTGGGAGCATCTGCACTCTGCATCCTCTTCTTGACGTGACCCACAGCCTTGCTGCGGCCTATTCCCGTTTGTGTCCGACTGCTGTTCCTCTCCACCTGCTTTGACCCCACAGACGGTATCTAGAATGTGAGCTTGCAGCTGTCTTATCGTTCTAGGCCCTCAACACCTCGTGTTTTGTCCTGTGCCAAACCACCAAATCATGCCGGTTGCTACCAAAAAAGTCTCCCTGTTGAGAAAGGTGGGGGACAATGTGTAACGCCTCGTTAAAATCGCACTGCCTCTATCAAATCGCCCAGTATGCTGCTCTTCTGCTCGGTTCGACCATGCTGTGTTGCCCATTGACTCCTTGTCTCCAGTGGCGAAATGTCAAAAACTGCACATTTGCTTTTTTTTCTCATACTGTTGTGTCGCCCGTCTAAATGGCCCAACTGCCTCGTCTCTCTCGTACACCCCATGCGAGGGAATCCAGGCTGTCCAGGTCCGGGTGTTGTCTAGCCCACTCGTAGATGTAGGACTTTAGCGCCTTCCATCTCGGGCATCTCTTCTCCTCTGCCAACTCAGCCTCAGCCGGCTCCATCAAATGACCGCTTGCCATCTGCTTTGCGTCATCAGCTTCAAGCTCTTCAACACTGACTTGAGCAATCTTGGCAAGTTCCTCGTCAAAGGACCTTGCCATAGCGGGGTATCCCAGTGACAAGTAGTTGTAGACCTGCGTGATAAAGATGTCGTCGAATTCCGACGCAATCTTCTCCTCCAATGCTTTTTCGCGCTTGAGGCGGTCTTCCAGGCCAGCGAGCATGTGAAGACCCTTGGCCTCGCCCGATCGAACGCGGTGCTCAGCTGTGTTTGGTGTCAGAGTCGCAGACGCATAGTCCGATCCAGGCTCATCCGTCAATGAGCTCTTGCTAAAGGCTGCAGCGAATGGGTCCGCAGGGGTGGCGGCTGGAAGCGGTGTATGCAGCATTCTGGGGCCTTGAAGATGCGGTGGTACAATGGCCTGATCGCTTTCGCTGCCCCGGAAGCAGTAGCCCCTCCACAAGCCGGCTTCGCCCGTGGCATCCCTGTTTCTCTCCTCGACAGTCGGGCCTTCGGTGAAGGGGTGGTCCGGCTCAAGTTTGGTCTGCTTCGGCGAGGGGCATTTTCGGAAAACCAGGTCCTTGCCCAGCATCGGCGGGGACGCCGCCTTACGCATCTTGCGAAACTCGCTTGTCTCCGCAGGGAGTCCGAAGTTGCCGAACGGGCGGCCGAATCCGCCTTGGGGCTTTCGGAAGCCAGTTTCAGGAACGATCTGCGCAGGTGCGGCGATAGGCACTTGGGCAGGCTTGCCGGCCGCATCTGGCGGAATGAATGGCATGCCAGTGTCACCAATTGGCTTACTCACCGGCTCTGGGGGAGGAAGCTCCGGACGGCGTGTATCTTGAGTAGCGATTGGATCAGGCGCGATTAGCGGCATGAAACTCTCGCCAATCGGTTCCAATGGTCCCTTGGAGCTGGTGTCGGTTGTGTGGTTTCTCTTGTTAGTCAACCACATGGGATCCGGCGGGGTGTCGAGTTCCATCCTGTCGAGTTCAGAATCGTTCTTGGTGCTCTCATCGTCATCGTCATCAAAGACAGGCGCGTGCTCGCCTCTGGCAACAGCCAAGTCCTGAGCATGCTTCTGCATCTCCTTTTGCCAATATCCAACTTCTGAAGACTTGCGGCGGGGAGCATGGCCATGGCGGCCCCTTGGCTTGGCCTGAGTGCCGGACTGCTGTGGTGAGACGCTCTCCGGTGTGCTGTCGTCTCCCGAACTCTCTCTGAAATAGAAATGAGCGGCACCTCCTTCACGCGGGCGACTGTTGGGGAACGCTGCCAAAGCAGCTTCTTGCATCTGGCGCTCAGCCTCCATGGCAGCCCATTCCAACATGTAGGTGCCTGCATTCTCGTCTTCCGACTCTCTTCGTGCGCCTTTAGGTTGCCTCTGAATCTGTTGAGTCTGGGAAGCGGGCGAAGCCGCGCCATCGTTCAACTTGCGTCTCGACTTGTTCCGCTGAAGATAGATGTGATTCGTGTAGGGTGTGATGTCGGTCTTATCGGTCGGGCGTGTGGCAGGACCGGCGTCGCCCTCCCTACGGGCGCGCCGAGAAGTCTCGATAAGTTGGGGAGCGAAGCGGCGTCTCGGTGCCGGCTTGCTTTGTAGAGAATGCAATTGTGGCGGCGGCTGCTGCATCCGCTGCTCGAAAGGATTGGGAGAGGGCGTTCGCGGGGTATGTTCGGGGGTCAACTCAGGTGCTGGGCCTGTTTGATGCTGTTGTTGCTGAGATTGCGGCTGTTGCTCAGAAGTCTTGCGTACAGACTCGAAGGTGGTCTCGATGGGAACGGGAGCGAACCGCCTCCGCGGCTCGGTGGATTGAGCCATGGCGGAGGGCGGTAGATGGAGAGTTGGGGAAGGATTGGCGAAAGGATAATTTCGAGGCGTCGATCCGAACGAGAGGAGTTGGATAAGGCAGAGAACAAAAGGCCGGATGGAAAAAATTGGTTGGGGAGGTTGTGTTGGAGAACCCTTTTTCAGTGAGACGAGGGGCAGAGAGAGTGTGATGGGACGAAAGAGTGACGCAGAGGTGGCCCCGGTGTTGGTTGAGCGCAGTAGACCGTAGATGTGGTGGGAGAGGCTGGCCTGTGGTTGGGCGATGCCGCGATGAGATGTTGCTGTCGCTGCCCGTGCGGCGCGTAGGTGTTGAGGAGGGGAAGAGAGGGGAGGGAAGGGAAGGGAAAAGGAGGAAGGAGGTAGTAAGAAGGGTAGATCGTGAGTTTTGTCAGAGGACACGAGTTGGAGATGACGAGGTAAGGTACGGGCACGTCTTGCTCGGTTGAGCGAGCCCTTGTGTGTCAATCGTGGGAAAAGACGGAGAGAATGCAAAGGGGCATGCGGCGGTGACCGGTCACAGGGCGTATTTGGCTGGAAGCAGCGAATGCAATACCTTCGTACCTACGCAGTGGATGGCAGCGATAGTCGGGAGCGGCAACAACGACAGGGAATGGGGAAGAGGGCAAGCCGCAAAAGCAGGATAAAGTGACTACTGGGGTAAGTTTGGGTAGAATACAGTGAGAATAGACATGTCTCCGATACTTGCTGAATACCATGTAGTCATGCGAACATGTGTGAAGCCGTGTATTTCTGTGGGCATATTTGGCTGCCAGAGATTGAGTCTGACAAGTACTGACACGTATCGAGTACTTTACTTCCATTGAGCAGATGGCCGAGGTACCTCATTCGGAACCCAGGCAGGTACTTTTTATGGCGATTAAAGCAGGGCCAGCGCCGCCAGCAGACTGACGACCACGGCGCGGACAGGGCGGATGCGAGGGTGTAGTGGGGTTGGGACAGGTTACAGAGTGGGATGACAGCTACGTACCCATAGCCCCAGACACTGTGCCAGGTACCTGAGCGATGTACTTACCTTAGGTTTGTACGAAGTGCCCAGGGTATTTGTGGGTGTTCTCGCGGGGCAGGAACGAGGGCAGTCACCGATGCCGTGGAATGAATGATGTCGGTGTCGTTCCTTCCCTCACCTTTCGCTCTTTCCTCTACCTTATTTCGCACCTGCTTTGGGAGTCTTGACATGCTGGGACATGCCTTCCTCTCTCGAAATGACAAAATTGGAGGAAGGAAGAGGGCAAGAAACACCTCAGACAAGAAGGGAAGAGTCAGACTTTCTTACCTAATACTTTCAACCGCGTAAATAATAAATAAAACATTCAAAAAAGTCCAGACTCGACTTTGTCAGAAACACGCCCGATGTCGCACAATGGCCCCGCCCGCTCTCCCCGCTGTTGCAGCGTACACGCACAACCTCCAGCGTCTCTCTCGGTCTCTCCAACTTCTGCTCTCAAATCTGGAGAAAGGTGAGCAACCGGAGACAAACACAGTCGCAGCCGGAGCCAGCCACACCTTGCAGGTACATGCTGATCCCGCCGCTCCCTCCGCTCATTGAACAATTGCGCCCTGAATATCCACGATATCTCACCATTATTCTCTCGATTGCCTACCTCACTTTGTACCTTGACCGTATCGGCGGCTCAACTAAACACACTCGGATGGATGCCCACAAGGGTCCCTTTTGGTCGCGTGTTTGACCACTTGCCACAGTACGCAATTGTGTTTTCTACTCCCCGAAATCTCCAGTCTCCAGTCTCCAGATTCCAGAGACCACCTCCAGAGCACCCATTTCTCTCGTTTCCCCCCCTTTGCCCGCATTTCCTCTCGTACCCTTAACATAATAAGGTGGGCACCAAGACCACCTGATCTGACTTGGGAGGCGATCGCTCCAGGGCAGGGCAGGGAACCGACCCGAGCCACGCTCCAGCTGACTTACCGCACAGTTTTTACGTCTTCCTGCCTATCCCCCATCGTCAATACGGATATTCGTACAGTTCAGAATGTCGCAATCCAGTACTTACGCCACAAGATATCCGTATCTATACCTACCGGCCTACCAAGGTCCCTGACATCATTGTCTCTCTTGACCAATTCGGACTCTTAGAGCCTGACTCTACTCCGTACGGACACATGTATCCATAGACGTCCCGCTAGGAACTACGAGCTCGACCCGAGAATTACAGCCATGCCCATGACCCGTTATTGTGCATGCCATCCTGGCCTGGAACCCAGGCCAGCCTCGCTCTCCCCTTGGGGGCCCACGAGCACTCAAGTGTCGAGCATCGACTGTAGACTATCGAGCACCAGACAGCAAAAACACAGCGGCACCATGCAGAACCAGGTGAGCACTAATAGGGGCGGGTAGTGGGCACCGCTGAGCACAGCAGACGAGTCTCTGGCACCAGACCATCACAGACCACACCAGAGCCATGAGGAATGCTTGGCTTGCGCAGTGAGAGCCCGCCAACGACAAAAGACGTTGGTCATTAGCGCCAGCACCCTCAAACTTTCGCCGCCTTCTGTCTCACGGCCTCGACCTCGACCTCGATCTCGACCTTCACCACAATCAACGCCAATGCAATAACATGGAGAGAAGAGGAGCCCCTAGAGATAACAGCCTGTCAGACTTGACGGAAATGGCGTCTGTTCGCCCCCGGATCTGTCCCCAATGCGGTCGTGCCTATCAAACTAGGCCGCTTCACAGCCCGCTAAAGCTTCTGCCAGCCGAACTTTCAAGAAACTTAGACTTTCGTGCCCTCTTTTCTGCGACTCTGCGACTCATTACCAGCCCTCGATAGCACACGATGGATTCGAGACCTCTGTCACAAGGCCACTCACCACTGGCTCAGGCTGCTCAGCAGCGTCTAGCTGCCCCTTCTGTTTACCTTTGCATCGCATCGCGTTGGGTGAGGTACCTCCTGGCTTGGTTCTCTCGGAAGCTTCTCACCGATCAAATACCCCTGCACCGGCGCTAGCACATCTCAACGTTCCATTCAGCAATCATACCGTCGCTCTGTCTTCCGCCTCCCGCCTTGGAAAGACAGCATAAGGGCCAGGCCTATGTTGTCTCTTGTCACACTCACGACGCCCTCATCGCCAGCGTACAGGGCAGCTCCCCAGGAATGCTCACTCTGCCTTCTGTAGGGGACGGCGTTTCTCCGAAGACCTGGGGTAATCTCGCAGCCCGGGGATACCGTATTGCTAAGATGAGGTAATGAGGCGCTGACGTGGCTGAGGTTCTATTTGCGAGTCAAGCCCCGAGATTAGCTATGAACCCTGACCGAAGCATTTTGCAATGCCCGCAGCCAACTCACGATGCTTCCGGGCATGCCATTTCAATATGTATGGACCTCACCAAGGATGGCTCCTTTCGGGGAAGCCTTCCGCTGAGCGTCACTCGCCGTCGTCGCGCTGCACTACCAGGCACTACCCGGCACCTCAACTGACGCCATGTTTTCTTGGGAACTTGGAAACATCGGACGACTGCCGCTTCGGGAGCAAAAAGTTGGGCCTATTGAGCCACAGAAGTTCGCAATCGACCCGTCCATTGTCCAGAGATACGCATTGTCCAAAGCTTGCCAGCTGTGACAGCTCATCGATCCAAGACTGAAAGCATCCCACATTCCACCCACGAAGGCGAGCCCAAGACGTTGAGCGAGGAACTGGGCAACGACAACCGTCAACGTCGGTCAGCGTCACATCACGTTCCTAACAGTCATTTCTTGTTTGTTTCCGCACGGCCCGCGGGGGTCGCTTCTTTTCACCTACCTATCTCAGCCGGCACTCGTCGTACGCCTCATCTGATGATCTGAATCACAACCAACAGTCCACCACTACCTATCCGTACTCCGTACCAGTATCCGGGGCAAGCAAGCATGCTCACCGACGATCGCCGGCCCCCATGAATGGCTGAACCCCCACACCGCTGTCCCGACTTTGGAGTCTCCCCACGGCAACCTACTTGCAACGCCCTTGTTTCGTTATCTCTGCTCCTCCATATGTGAAACTTTTTGGTGTTACCGCCGTCACGCAAACGACAGCCTGGTCTTTCCAATAATGACAAGAATTCCCAAAGTCCACCGATACCGGCATGAGGCTATCTTGCCGCTAAAGAACGCTACCTGGGCAATGGATGAACCCATCAACAGACAACGCACCGTTAGCTGAGTTCGTCCACAGGAACCCCGTTGCGATGCATGAAGCTATGGAAACGGGAGCCGCAGGAATTCCACTCAAGTCCAACCTCACCTGAGCCAAGGCATTAACCCCGGCCGTCTTGATCGGTGAGAATTCACGACGACTTCATTATTGCCCGCACTTTCAGCTTCATCCCCGAGCACCTAGAGCGGTGCAATGGCACACGTGCCCGATTGCTGCTTTTTCCTGCCACGCGCGCTCGCCATGATACCACCCTCCAGCTGCAAGCCACATGCAGAGAAGTCAGTTCTCGTGATAATCAGGGACTCAAATCCGACATTATTGGCCGACTTGCTGCTTCGATGCGGCCGCTAAAAGGCTCTGATGCATCTGACACACACCGCTCAGAGACCTTTCTGCTGAGACTAGTCAGGATCGGTGTCCATCCGGAAAGGGTGGTGCAGCCAACCGGCTTGGTGCCCGCTCCTCGCTGAGTCGCGGACCTGGGCATTCCTACTCTGGGACCTGGCTTCCCGTCCGGGGGGTTTGACCTGTCTCCCCTCTTTCCAGCCCCGGAAACCCAACATGTGACCCCGGAACGGCTCAATAGGATGCGCTGCCGGCTGCACCCGGGACCGGCCGGTCGGCTAGGATAGACTTTGTCTCCGCGTTTACGACTCCACCAGGTCCGCCCGCCGCCGGGTATATGCCGTGCTGACTCGCCGAAGAAGCGGCACTTGGGCTTCTTATCCGACACAACTTCAGGTGTTTCAGTGACCCGTTAGTTCGGATCATATTGCAAGTGCCATTATCTGGGATGAAAGTTTTCGGACTTGAGTTGG